TACGGAGGCAAAGTTGGTCAGGGCTGAAATATGAAAAATATGCTGGTTCTGCTGCCCTCTGGTGGTGGCTGGGCCCAAGCTGGACAGCTTGGCGGGGAGGGTGGAGACCTGTTTCCATGGTGAGAGAACAGAAGGGAAGGCCTCCTGCATTGGGGGCGCTGGGCAGGTGTCCTCGTTACCCGCGCAGAAACAAGCGAGACAGACACATTGAACTGCAAGTGTGTTTTTTATTTTCTTTCATTTTTAAAAAACATTTTTATTTTTTGAATTTTTTCAAGCAAGTGGAGCGAGGAACTATGGCCACAGGTCTCCAACCGATGCTTTAGGAGTTTCTGTCCATATTTCTAGACAGCATGCGGATGTACACTTTCTAGATTTTTCTCCATCTTAGCATTACCTAATGCCTCCCTCTCTTTCCCTGCCTTCCCCACCACACACGGGGACAAGGATACGTTTCCTCCTGCCCAGTACCATCCCACCTTAATATCAGCAGGCCCGACGGCAGGCGGCCCGACGGCAGGCGGCAGTGCTGGTAACATGGGTGAGCTGAGAAACAGCATCGAGATTCTCTTTCTTCTTCTACCCCTTTGCTTTCATGGGAGCGCATCTTCTAGTAGTTTTTTTGTTTTTGTTTTTGTTTTTTTGTTTTTTTTTTTTTTTGAGGTAAGATGAGCAGCAGCACAGTTTGGAGGATGCCGTATGTCTGCAAATGTCCTCATCCTAGGCTCTCACACACTCCGGATGTAGAATTTCAGTTTGGAAAGCCTTCTGTTATGCAGAAACTGCCCCACCATTGCGGGCAGGAAGCCCACAGTGTCCTGAGTTCCTGTGATGTAGATCTTGGGTGTCGCTGGTTCCTCTCTGAAAAGTTGCAAGGTCCCGTCCTGTCCCTGTTGTTCAGAAGCTACACGAAGCTGAGCTTCACGGAGGGTCTCTTGTCGTTGTCCCGGGTGCTCAGTCACCAGCTGGCAGCTTGGGGCTTCTTCCAGAATTTGGAAGTGTATTTTCAAGTGTCTTCAGGCCTTCCCAGGTCCCAGAATATGAACCCCCAAAGGGATTGCAGCAACAAGTGAGTCTGACAGCCCATGTTTTATAGAGGGGGAACCGAGGCCCAAGATTTGATGTGCTAGTATCAGAACTAGCTTCAGTCTCCCTGTTTCTTCCTGTTCCCCCTCCTCTTTCTCCTCCTCTTTTTGTGTCATTGTCATTAAAATCTGTCATCTGTTTTTTAAAAAAAGACTTATTTATTCATGCACACAAGAGCTGGGGTACAGGCGAGAGGGGTGAGAGGATTCACTAGAGACAGAGCGGCGAACAGAACAGGCAGACTGACTGAAGTACACTGCTGAGGGGAGCAGCGGGGAGACAGGAGAGGTCTGCTGCGCCATGTGGGTACTTCCCTGGCCGGGGATCGAACTCGTGCTGCAATGGCTGCGGACAGCTTCATAGGCTGCATCTTAACCCCTTGTGCCACCAGGGAGGCCCCAAAATCTCTGTCCTCTTACTGGTTAACACCAGTAAGCATTTACTATGGACCCGTCAGTGTGCTCAGATGTCTTGCATTGACTCCAGCATTTCATGCGTGCAATACGATAGGAAGATGGCTTGATCCATTCTGCGGATAAAGCACTAAGGCTCTGAGAGAGAAAATGCTTGCACATATCAAAATAAGTGGCAGGTTTCCTAGACTTGCCGGAAGACTTCCCGCTCTGCTCCCTGCGCTATGTTGAGCTAAGGGCAGAGCAAAAAATCATACTAACTCCCCTGGGCTTGCAGCTGAACAATACAGGTTTTATTATGTGTTGGGTACTAGTCTTAGAAAATCACATGTATCAGTTCATTTAACCTCATAGTTTTCCTATGAAGTAGTGCATTATAGTATTGTCCCCATCTTACAGATAGGAAGGCCAAGGCACAAAGAGGATTACTACTTCGTCCTGGGTGCCACAGAGCCAGAGCAGAGACAGGAGTCCAGCCCAGGCTGCCTGGCTCGGTGGCCCAGGTCCGTGCCCGTTGCTAGACTGGCTGTCCCTGAAACAAACAGATGCCAGTTCTGGTCTCCCGATGGACCCTGGCCCTCCCAGATCCCCTGGAGCTATAACAAGCCAGTGTCAAGCTGCCAAGAAGCCCACTTTGGGGTCTGGTGCCGAGGGGTGTCGTGAAAATACTATTCTTGTCACTCTCCACCTCCTCAAGCTGTTTCCTTTTCACAGTCTTCCTGGCATATGTTAAATGTATTTATTGTTTATTTCCTGGGGTCCCCACTAGAATATCAGCACCATGGGGGTGAAGATTCCATGTACCTACCCCTCAGTGCCTGTGTCTGGTAATAGTGGGTGCCCAGCACATACTTGTGGCGTCATCTCTAGCCCACGTCAGAGGGCTCTGCTGGGATTATGGGTGATCCCCAAACCAGAAAGGAGATGCGCCAGTGGGGCAGGTGGTAGGGGGAACGGAGTGGTCTCTGGGGACACCCTGAGCCCTGGCTAAGTACAGTGGGGTGTCCTTCCTCAAGCCCTTCCTGACCTGGCAGCAGAGGTCCATTGTGCAAGGCAGAGCCCTGGGCTCGAGGGGAGAGGACACTTGGGAGGCGTTCAGGTGACTGGGAGAGCCAGGTTTGTGCCAGGGGAGTGGAGCGAGGATTCCAGCCCCTGTCCCAGCTCCCTCCTCCGTAAAGTGGACAGGGTATTAACAGCAGCTCAGGGGCTGTGCTGAGGATTGAGGGACTAGTCTCTACAAAGTGTCAGGACAGTGCCTGGCACACAGCAAGGGCCGCACGAGCCTCAGCTGGGATTACCAGGAAACCTCAGCCACTGTTCTATGATCCTGGGGAGAACTAGGCTGGGCTGTTGGGGCACCGAACCTCCAATGGGAAAATGATTGAAAGCAAACCTTCAATCAGCGGATCCCAGCCAGCATTCCCAACCAGTGTGCCCCACCTCGTCCCACAAGTGACAGAGGGTGGGGCTGTGGTCAAGGTCCATGAATCTGAATCCTGGCTCTGCTATGTCCTAGCAGCATGTACATTGGGTTTGCTGCTTAACCTCTCTGTCCTCAGTTTCCTTGTTTGTAACATGCTATTCTCCACATAAGATGAAGAGGGCTGGCATCTCAGATGTGTGGAAACAAGGCTGTCAGTGGGCCTTGATGAGATGCTGCCAAGAAGCATCTTGTGTGGGTGGAACGCCTGATTCTTGTTGGAGGGATCTGGTTCACAGGTGGCAGTTCCCCAGTCAGGCCACTAGATGGCAGGCGTGATCCTTTCTGCCCCCAGAGCCAAGCTAATTCAGGGCGAAGGAAACTGCTTTCACCTGCAGGCGCTGGGCTGTGTCCTAGGCCTGCATTTTCCTACAGGCCTCACAGCCATCCTCAGATGAAAGGAGATATTCAAATACTCCTCCAAAATTAACAACGATGTTATAAAATACATATAAAAATTAAATTAAATTAAAATAAAGGCAATATTCCATCAGAAATGCTAGTCAAGTAAGTGCCTGATATACTTTAAAGGTTCAAAAAACAAAAAAACAAACAGTTTGCTGTTCTTCCTGTTGTTGCTATTATTCCCCTTCTTCCAGAGTCGGAGCTGAGGATAAACTGTGCACACCTGGCTGACTGCAGGTTCAGCACCCTCCCCTGAACCTGCTTCCAGGGGAAGCAGTGGCGCCTGGGACTCAGCTCACAGAGCCTGTTACAGACTCTTCCCCCTTCCTTGTTTCCTGTGTGATCTTAAAGTAGCCATGAGGTTGCAGAGCCTCAGGTGCTCATCTGCGCCTCAGGGAGGCTGGTCCCTTCCCTATTTGCACGGTGTTTAAAGAACAAAGCTAGCCAGGAGCTGACACTCTGTGCTCGTGGGTCCCCTGCTCCGTGGAAGTTAGGGTCCAAAATGTCCTCGTGTGTTCCTTCCTGGGACGGCCCACACACAGGTGTCTTCTCTCCCTTAGACCACACCTGCCGTGCCCCTGGGGCCTCAGTCCTCCCCATGGCCTGGCCCTGCCTTCGCCCCAAGGTGCTGCTCCAAAGCCAAGCTGAGGCTCTGCAGGGGCAAAGCACTGTCAGATCCCAAGTGGTCTGACTCTGTTCATCCCTTGTCACCAGGGGCTTTCAAACTGGCTTTGGGATCAAAAGTTTTGTGGGGTTATCTGGGGACTTTGGAGGGAGACACAGGACAGAAAGATGGAGTCCGAGATGGGGTCTTCTGGATTTCAGTAAACAGCTCTGGTTTTAGCTGGTTTATATTCTGGGATTGCATGTCATATATTCTGCTGGTAAAGAACCCAAAACATCAAAAGCCACTCTGCTATACCTTGCTAAGTGGGCTGGACGGGACATTGAGATCTATCAGAGGAAATCTCCAGGGAAGAGAGTATGTTTGGGACTGAGTTTCATAAAATTAATTTGCAAAGTGATAAAAAAGACCAACAAAGACAAATACTCCACAGTACCATTTATATGGAAAATTTTTTTTTTTTAAATCAAACTCATAGTTACAAAGAGTAGATAAGCAGAGGCTGAAGGTGGGGGATAGGGAGAGGTTGATAAGAGAGAACAGACTTTCAACTCCAAGGTGAATACGGTCTGAGATCTAATGTAAAAAATGATGATGTAACTGTGAACACTGTACTGAACAATTAAAATTTGCTGAGGCAGAAAAACTTAATGTTCTCTCTGCCCCCCCCAAAAGATAAATATGTGAGATAAGCTTCATTGACTACCTGGAGGATTCCTTTTGTATCTGTATCTCAAACCACCCTGATATACACTTCCAATATCTTCCCATTTTATTTGCCAGTGATATCTCCATTAAGCTGAAATAAATATATAAACAAGCAAATCATTTCTAGGAAAAATAAGGTTTTACTTTTGTATTATAATAATTTGGGGATTACCCGCAACTCCACTTGCCACCATCACTCACTGAGCTAACTGGGGATAACCCTGTGCTTCTGACCTCCCTGAGGCCTTTTGAACTTGAGGCCTTTGCTCTTTCTGTGTTGCAGTGCCCTGGTTCCCGAGATCCATCCAAGAACTGGACAGATTTGCCAATCAGATCCTCAGCTATGGAGCAGAACTGGATGCTGACCACCCTGTGAGTCCATGGTGCTTTGGGGGGCATTCTTCCAGTCCCTGCCCTCCTCTGCCTTCTCCTACCCTCCCCTCCCCTGCTCCCCCCTGCCCCCCACTTCCTCCCCTTTGGAGCACATGTCTTTGTTGGCTTGTACAACAGCCGTTAATGAAGTGCCTGCTTCTACTTTATCACCATCGACACGTGCTTGTGTTCAGCACATCTGAATCATCACCCAGATATTATTTATATCTATTAGATATTATTTATATCTATTATATGACGTAGGTTTGCACATGCACATACATGCAAATCATCTTTATTTCTGACTTGGTACAACTGCTGAGTTCTAAAGCAAGTACTGGGGAAACAGCAGTCAACGCCACCCGTGCAGTTGGGCAGCAGGGAGTGGTGACACTGGAGCTGGATCTGAAAAACTGGGTGGGTAGAAGATGCAAATCAGTTGAGGCATTTAGGCATGTGAGGGGCTGGCCGTAGCTTAGTGGTTACTTCGTCGCACTGCATTTAGGCATGTGAGAGGCTTTGCTCCCAAAAGTATCAGGAATATTCTGGGGACTGACTGGCTGCTGTGTTAGGTCTCTCTCTCTGATTGACGTGCATGTTCTCTATGTGTGCGTTCTCTACGTACCTAGAATGTATTATGTACACACACATGCACATATGCACAGTATGTATTTGTATTGTGTGTGTATTTGTACCCACATGTCTATTTGCACACAGTGCCATGACATGTGGTCCCCGCGGCGAGCTTGTGGAGGCTTCTGGCTTCCAATGGCATCATAATTGAGCATTGTTAGGTGAAGTCCCCACCGCTTCCTTGGCTCTTGTGAAATGACTTAGTCGGGGAATAGAAATTGCATGGAAAGCTCCCCTCCGAGAATATAGTACTTAAATACCCTCTCCAGCAAGAAGATTAAGTTGCCGGGGGTTGATCCTCATGCCTTTTTTTTTTCCTGGATGCAATGTGGCCTGCACCTGCTTGCAGGAGCCTGAGGGGTGAGGGCGCTGCGCGTCCCCTCTGCCAGGTCTCTGGGCTCGTAGCTGTGGGTCCTGCGAGCACTGCATCCCCAGAGCTATGGTTTCTCAGCAAAGCCGTCTGCTGCCCTTGATCCAGTCCCTGAGCTTGGCCCTTTGGTGTTTTCTCCTCTCCCACCTGCACCCTCTTGTCCTTCCTTTGGCCGCATCCCTTGCTCATTTGTACCAAAGGGAGACGAGGCCAGTCCAGAGTCACTGCCGTTTCTCTCCCTTCATCCACTTGCTCCCTCAGAGGCGGTCAGATCTAGCCTGAAAGCTCCCTGCAATTCATTTTTCTCCACAGGCCCAGTCCACATCGTCGGCTCCCTGGCCTCGCATGAATTTTACCATAAAAATACTATTTAGCAGGTCCATGGTCCCCTGATGAGGACGCCGGGTTCACTCTGTCTCTTTCCTGTGGCTTCTCTTCAGTTCCCGGGAGCCCAAGGACAGAGCAAACCTCCAGAGAGACGCCCCACAGCCCCAGGCCCCCCGCCCCCCCCCCCCCCCCCCCCCCCGGGCCTCAGCGGAGCCTTGTCTTCCCGGGCCGAGAGGGGCTGTGATCCAGCTGTCAACTTGGTTGGGTCTGCTTAAAATTTTCCCCTCACCACCATCCTTTTCTCCTGCCTCTCTCTTCCCTCAAAGCCCTTGTGGTGTTTGTTTGTTTATTATCTATTTATTTGTTTATTATTTATTTATTTTTAAAGATTTGTTTATTTATTTATACAAGCACTGGGTACAGTCAGAAGCGCAGGAGGGTGAGAGAATTCACCAGAGTCAGAGCAGGGAACAGAACAGGCAGACTAACGAAGTACACTGCTGAGGGGAGCAGCGGGCAGCAGGAGAGGTCTATTGCGCCATATGGGACCCTCGCGCCGGCGGCCAGGGATGAACCAGCGCTGCAGAGGCTGCGGGCAGCCTCGCAACCCAGCGCTCAACCGCTGCGCCACTGGGGAGGCCCTTTTTATTTATTTTTTTAAGATTTATTTATTTATGCATACAAGAACTGGGGTGCAGGCCAGAGGTGCAGGAAGTGAGAGGATTCACCAGAGACAGAGTGGGGAGCAGAACAGGCAGATCTAATGACATACACTCCTCCCGTGTCTTTGCTGTGGTGCTGCAGCTACTCCCTTAGTGTTCTTCTCAACTTTTGGATTTCCTGCCACTTTGCCCAAACATGTCATTTTTGGAGGATTTTTGTACTTAGGGCTTTACTTGATGATCTGCCTTCATGGCCCGCTATCCCCCCCACAGCACTGTCAGGCAGTCCCCATTAAATCTCATTTTACAGATGAAGAAACTCAGGCTCTGAGAGGTGCTCTGACCAACCTCAAGCCATGCTTGAGTGAACCAGTGGGCTGGTATTTCAACCCACCTTGTGCAACCTTCAACCCCCGGTTCCCACTAATCTAAAAATGATATTTCTGAGTTTCAACCTCAGTCCTGATATCAAGAAATGATAAAGTAAATGTTTCAGTCTAGAAGAATATTCCATACACTGACCCTCCCTCCAAAATCCCCACAAAACAAAATCCCACCCCTCGACACCCCAAGTAATGAAAATTCTGAGATAAGTCATGACATGTAGACTGCCAGTGGTGTTCTAACTTCACATGCTGTAGTGTTCTCTTCACTATCTCCCCTCCCTGCTGCCCCTCCTCCCTCTCCCCTCACCACCCCTTCACCAACAATATATTTTCCTGTCAAAACATACTTGGTTACATGCCGTGCAACCAAAATTGCTGCTATTAGCTTAATTGAGACAGGGTGATTATAAATAAATTACATGCAGTGCTACTGAAATTGCTGCTATTAGTCTAAATTGAGACAGGGTGATTAGTCATCACCAACTGTAGCTTCATTCAGCGTGTGGCCCACACTGCTGCTGGAGGGGCCTGTGGTCACCTGGCAGCCCAGCTCCCTGGAGACAAGACCCAGCTCCCAGGAGACTGGAAGTCAAGGTCACTGCTGTCCTTCACTGGCAATGGAGAAAGCAAAAGTCTGTGGCCCACGGTTAATAGGGCTCCTTACAGACTGGTGATGGGCTTCGTAGAGAATGAGATGAAAAGACATGGCCTGAAACCTTCCCGTATGAAATATCTGTGTAACAGATTGTGTGTGTGTGTGTGTGTGTGTATGTATCTAACATGTGTATCTTCTGCTACTTCCTCACAGTGATTTGAGATGATGTTTTAATATTCTTTTCTAATTATTAAAGAAATCCAGAGTCACAGTAGAAATTTTCAAAAACCTAATAGCTTGGAAGTTTTCCATTTTCATAACATCTGTTAGATGTTGGCATATTTTTTCCATCATTTCATTTATATATTTAGACATTCCTCTGACATACAGGATACTACGGAATATGCAATTTTAGAGTAAGCTTTTCTTTTCTACTCTTGCAAAAATCTTTAAATTACCCAAAGTACATTAAAGATGAAAGAGAAGGAGCCAAATGGGGAGGAGAAATTGTGATGGGATTTCATTCCCAGAGGCAGCACAATGAAGTCCAAATCCACAGGTTAAGAGTATTCTCTTATCTCTCTGCTTTTCTGCCTCAACCTTCAAACCTCAACTGACCAGTCTTGATGGGACCAGAAAACCCCAGTGAAGGTGCTGGTCCTGTAGGTAAGGTTCTTGGGCTTCCCTTTCGTCATATTTATATCAAAGTATAGACATTCTCCAAGTTGCCTTACAAGTGCGAAAATCTACATTTAGGGGTTGGAGAAAGCCATTTACTGCTGGCTATTAAATAAGACCAATGGTGAGGATGACTATAGTAATTGAGCCTTCATGATTAACACAAGTAAAATTTATATATTAAAATTTATATTTTGTACCCTAATTATTGAAATGTGCTCATTTAATTCGGCAGACAGCTTCCTGAAAGGGTGTTACTTGGAAATCAAATCACACCATCCAATTTTCTTACTGCATTATCCCAAATCAACTTATCTTCACCCCCCCCCCGAAGTGTTTTCAATGGCAGTTTTAATTTTTCAGATTTCTAAGCTTTCCTTAATGATTCAAAACAACCCAGTGGCTGACAGAAAACAATAGAATATGTTTTGTAAAAACCATGGGATCTTTTCTAAATTGAATAATCATGAAATCTGTCATGAACCTAGGTTTGGAATTAAAAAATGCAAGGTAATTATATTTCACTTGGATTTCTTTTGCTGTACCTTTTGATCATCTGTATGTCTTCTCTTAAAAATTGTCTATTCTGGTCATGTGTCTATTTTTAAATCAGATCATTTGGTTTCTAAGTGAGATCATTACTGTTTGTCTTTCATATTTCACTGGGTCCATCTATGTTGTCAGAAGATTTTGCTTCTTTTTTATGGCTGAATAATATTCTATTGTATATTCCAGTATGTACATTTTCCAGTATGTACATATTCCAGTATGTACATTCATTCATCCATTAGTGAACACCTTAAGTTGTGTCCATGTCTTGGTTAATGTGAATAATGCTGCAACTCACATGAGGATACATGTGTCTCCTCAATATAGTGATTTCATTTTCTTTGGCTATATACCCACAAATGAAATTGCTGGTTCAAATGGAAGTTCTATTTTTGATGTTTTTGGAATCTCCATACTCTTTTCCATAGTGGTTCTACTAACTTATGTTCCCAACAACAGTGCAAAAGAGTTCACTTTCTTCACATTCTTGCCTACACTGATCTTTTGTCTATTTGATACTAGCGATTCTAGCAGATATAGGATGATGTTTTCTATTTCTTTGTGGCTTTGATTTGCAGTTCCTTGATGATTAGTGATGTTGAGCCTCTTTTCATGTACCTTTTGATCATCTGTATGTCTTCTCTTAAAAACTGTCTATTCTGGTCATGTGTCCATTTTTAAATCAGATCATTTGGTTTTTGGCTTTTGAGTTGTATGAGCTTCTTATATATTTTGAATATTAAGCCTAACTCAGACATGTCATTGCCAAATATTTTCTCCCATTCCATAAACTGCCTTTTCATTGTATTGATTGCTTCATTTGCTGTGCAGAAACTTTTCTGTTTGATGTAGTCCCACTTGTTTATTTTTGCTTTTGTTGCTTGTGCTTTTGGTGTCATATCCAAAACATTGGACCAACGCCAAGAAGTAATCCTGACAAAGAACAAAGTCCCATTCCTGACTTCAAACTGTATTACAAAACTATAATAATCAAAGCAGTTTGGCGTTGACATGACAACTGACTCATAGACAAATGGAACAGAATCAGAGACCAGAAATAAATCCATGCATATACAGTCACCAAACATTTGGCCAGAGAGTCAAGAATATTTAATGAAGAAATGACAGTCTTTTCCACAAATGATGGTGAGAAAATAGGACATTCACATCCAAAAGAATCAATTTGAGCCCTTACCTTATACCCTTTACAAAAAATAACTGGAATGGATTAAGGAGTTAAATCCATAACTGGATTAAGGAGTTATTTGAAATCATAAAACTAGAAGAAAACCTAGGAAAAAACACTATTTTAATCAGCTGAGATCATCTCTGATTCATGCTCTGCCCTCAAGCACTCAGTGGTCTCTTTTTCTAAGAATGTGCTTCTTATGGATTGTGAAGAAAGGTTGCATATAAATCAGTCTCAAAGTACCCATTATCATCATTTTTATGTACTAAAATAGATTTCTCAGTTGAGCCCCTGACAAGTTGTAAAGGTTGACAATTACTGAAATGTAGTGAAAAAAGCATGGAATAGGGCCATTCAAATCCAAGCTTCACCTTGGCTTCATACCACTTCTCCAAACACTGTCTATTCTGGAAAGAAGGGTACTAGTGACCTGACAAGTTTTTCGTGAGACTTATAAATAAAATAACTGACTAGCACATACTGACTAGCTCATAGTAGGTACTCAGTAAGTGGTCTTTTTAAAAACTGAAATAGCAATAAGCATCTATATATCTGTTTGTCTATCAAGAACTTAGGGGGCAGAGAGCTATGTTCTCATAGTTTGGGGTGGAAATTCATCCTTTAATTTAGCAAATTTATAAGCTATGTAAAAAGCCTGTATATAGTTTGTACTTTAGAATCCAATGACAGAGTGACTCACACTGAATTGAAGGTGGTGCTAATAACGTGTCACCCATAGTATCTGGTGGGATAGCTTACCCTTCGTTTAACTGAAACTTTATTTTTAGGGTATAATCAGGGGAAGCAGAAATGCAATCAGAGCTCAACAGCCCCCTTTCATGCTTGCATAGATATGCCAGGCCTTCCCTGGAAAGCCTTGAGAAATCAAGTGTCTTCTTTCTCGTAGGGTTTTACAGATCCTGTATACCGTGCCAGACGGAAGCAGTTTGCTGACATTGCCTACAACTACCGACAGTAAGTCTGCTTTGCTTATTAGGGTGAGAGAAGACCACATCCCTGGCCTACCTCTCCCTTGCCCAAGGTTAAAAAATACCAGCGTAGAGACTCCTGTCTTGTGTGTGTGTGAGTGTGAGTGTGCATGTGTGCCTGCATGTGTTTGAACCCTCCCTTTAATAACACGTGTTCAAAAAAATTGCCGCCAGACAAAACAAATTTACCCACTGTGCAGGGCCCAGCTCTCTCCCAAGCTTTGTTGTGTAATTACGCAGTGATGTCTGAAGTAATTATAAAAGGCCTCCGTCCTGAATAAAACAGCCTCTGGTATTCTCCACATTAAATGGGGAAGAAGGAAAAAGACAATCATTTACATTCAAGATGGAGTTGGCCGCTTTGCTGAAATAATGAATCCTTTGGGGTTTCAGACGAGCCAAGTCTCGTGTTCTACTTTTATCTCATCTGACCCAGCTGTGAAGGGCAATTTTAGCATGAGTTTATTTTGCCAGGGATTTTATACTCCTCCTCTACCCTGTCTTAGCCAAAGGAAAATGCAAATACCAAATATATCATTTAGGGAGAGAATTGTTTTGCTATTTTGAGTTCTCAGGAACTAGAGAAAAGCCCTCATGGGGAACTGAGGTCCATTCCAAAATGAGCTTGGGAAAGATGTGCAGGACGAAGAAACTTAAAGGTTGACCAGGATGCAGAGGTAATGGCCCTCAAACAACTCGGATAGACTATGAAGGAGGTGAGGAAGGTGACAGGGCCCTGTCTATAACACCAAAGTCACCTTCCAAATGGAAGCGAGAAATTCTTTTCCCTGCATGACTCTTGGTGGAAGAATAGAGAGCTCTGCTGACCTTAGTCTAGCAAATCTGAGCCTTCACTCAGGGCAAGCAGAAATCATAGACCAGGGTAAACTTTCTCTTGTCTCTACTTTTACCCCAGGAGGGGATCAGGTGGACACCACAGATCAACTACAGATGAGACTCCTTCAAATAACGACTAATAAAAGACCATGTTCATTATTTCCTTGTGATGTCCGGGACTTTGCTAAAGGCTTTGTTTACATTATTTCTCTTAGTGTCAATAATAACTCCACATTCTTCAGATGGGAAAACTAAAGCTCAAAATAGCTAAGTAACTTGCCATGGTCCTATAACTAATTAGTAGGTAGCATCTTTCAGTTTTAAACTTAGTTTTTTTGTAACTTTGAAGTCCTTTTTCCCAATTCAATTTTTTTTGAGATAACATCAGTTTACAATAATGTATATGAGCCAGTGGTATAGATTCACATCTCTGCAGATATATATTACATACCACATCCATCACCAAAGCACCCATAATCCTCAACCATAGTCCATATGGTGAGTCCCACACTCCTTCATTGGGGTTGACACTTTTATGGAAAGGAGATTGAAGAGGATTGGTTTCTCCCCTCAAATCCCAACAACCAAGAAGTGAGTAAACATATCCCCTAAGCAGCTCTTGGATTATATGGAGAAGTTTCCCCAAACACTCAGAGGAATGGTTAAGAAAGACTCCTCCTGCTGGAATCTCACCGACTGAGATGGGAAGAGGCTGCTTTTACTTGAAGAATAGAGAAAAGATGTGAGCTCCTGGAATAGCAAATGTTAACCCGTGGACATGTCAGGATGCTACTAGCTCTTGAAAAATTTTGCATAGACAACAGATACTTTCTTTCAACTTAAGAGCTAGTTATAATGATAATTAGCTGTTACCAATGATATTTGTCAGCACCAGTGTTAGGGATTTTATATACAGTATTTCACTTAATTCTCCTCCACACTCTCTAAATATCTACTTATAATAGTCCACATAGCATCTGCAAAGGTTAGGTTTGTTCCATTGTCTGAGGTCATTCACCTAGGAGATAGCACAGCCAAATTTCGAACTCATCTGTTTCCACAGCCTGTTCTGTTCCTCCCTCAGCACTTAGCCCTGAAATATCGGTGCGTCCTTAGGCCAGAGGCTTCTCTGACATTCTTTTCACAATCCTCACTGGTCATTGCAGGACCTTTTAAGCTTGTCTTGCTTTCAATTCTTAAGCAAAAAAAAATCTGTCTTTCTCCCTTTAATCCCTGTCCGCCTCTCTGGGGAACATAACAGCCACCTCGCTTTCATGTCCTTGGATGAGCCACAGTCTAAAGGGCACATTTGGAGTTTGGAGTTTGAACGATGATCCCTTATTCCAAGGTAAACAGTTCTGCCTTGTCCCAGACACCCTGTGCCTGTTAGGAAACAGGCCTGCGGCCCAGAAACAGCCCCTGTCTTTGAAGTCAGGTTTTGTTTGTTTTTCATTTGTTTTTGCTGCTCAGAACACAGCTCATTTTTAGGTGGTTTTCAAAAGGACCTTTTGGACTAATGACTCTCCAACTGTACCATATAATCTGGGAGAATATTGGATTCTAGAGGCCTGGGCTCTCTCTTCCTCACAGATTTGGGGTTCCTGGGCAGGAGCCAACATAATTTCTTTCTTTTTAACTAAAATTATTCCCCATTGTTTGTTGAGGTAATGTTGGTTTCCATCATTGTATTTGTTTTAGAGATTCTCGGTCCAACCCTCTGCAAATGTATTTTTTTTCACACCATGCCCCCCACCGGCCCCCAATAATCCTCCACCATGTTTCATTGGACCCCTGCTGCCGCCCCATCACCCTCCCCTTCCGGTTGTCTCGGTTTTGCAGTCAGATGTCAAGGGTTTGTTATGTTGTCTCACCTACTTTGTGTCTCTGTATTCCACATGTAAGGACACCAGCTGGCATTGTCTTTCTCCTTCTGACTTTCTTCCCTTAACATACGCGCTTTCAGAAGTTCCATGTAGTTCTCTCATGTCATGGCAGAGAAACTGGGCATGCATATCCTACACTGAGCGTGCATTTGAACACTTTTATCTTTCCCAAGGGCAGGGATATGAAATCCAGCTAGCACATGCTCACCACACAAGGCATTTCAGACTCGGGGTGCACAGTAAATACACCTTGATCCCCAGATGCAATTCTCTAGGGGACATCATACGACGAGTTACTTTAACTGAACCCAGATGCTTTGCTTAGAAAGAGAATGTCTTCTTTAGTTGTCTCAGCACATTGATGTTACTCTTCTGGCCCCCAAAGGTAAGTGGGTTTCTATACTGGGTAAACAATTAAAGAACAGAAAGGCCAAATGATTCCCCAAAGTAAGAGCAAATCCTCAGTGCAGTTGATGAGGTGAGAGCTGATGTCGATTTACCAAGCCAGGGAAATGTTCCCTATCTCAAAAGTAATAGAATGTTCCTCTTTTATTTATTTTTTTAATTTTTTTTTTAATTTAAATAATAAATTTTATTTTTATATTCCCCCATACAATTGCAAACGCCCCATTCTGACCCCAATCCCTCCCCTCCCGCCCCCCACCCCCCAAAAAGTGTCTCTGGTTCATAGTTTTTTGTTGATTTTGATTTTCACTTTCTTATATTCATTTTCCTGGTCCCTTATTTAAGTTTTCTAGATTCCTGCTATGAGTGAGACCATCCGGTATTTTTCTTTTTCTTTTTGGCTTATTTCGCTGAGCATGATCCCTTCCAGCGCCATCCATGTTGCTGCAAATTGCATGTGTTTATCTTTTTTGAATGCTAAGTAATATTCCATGGTGTATATGTACCACATCTTCTTGATCCAGTCATCTATTTTTGGGCATTTGGGTTGTTTCCAAAGCTTAGCTATTGTAAACAGTGCTGCTATAAACATAGGGGTGCAGGTGTTCTTTGGAATTGATGTTTCTGTGTCCTTTGGGTAAATACCTAGTTGTGGAATTGCTGGATCATATGGAAGCTCTATGTTTAGTAGGTCCAGAAATCTCCACACAGCTCTCCATAGCAGTTGGACCAGTTTGCACTCGCACCAACAGTGCAGGAGAGTTCCTTTTTCTCCACACCCTCGCCAACATTTGTTGTTGCTAGATTTTTTAATATGTGCCATTCTCACTGGTGTGAGATGGTATCTCATGGTAGTTTTGATTTGCATTTCCCTGATGACAAGTGATGTTGAACATTTTTTCATATGCCTGTTGGCCATTTGCATTTCCTCTTCAGAGAAGTTTCTTTTTAGCTCTTCTGCCCATTTTTTGACTGGATTATTTTCTTTGTTGTTGCCGAGTCTCATCAGCTCTTTGCAGATTTTTGTGATCAGTCCTTTATCATTAGTGTTGGGTGCAAAAATGTTCTCCCAGTTGGTGGGGTTTCTCTTTGTTTTTGTTATTGTCTCATTTGCTGTGCAGAAGCTCTTTAATTTGATGTAGTCCCAGCTGTTTATCTTTGCCTTCACTATCACTGCTTTGGGTGATGTGTCTGTAAAGATGTCTTTGATGTGCAAATCCCGTAGTGTTTCGCCTATATTTCCTTCTATGTATTTTATGGTTTCAGGTCTTATGTCTAGTTCTTTAATCCAGAATGTTCCTCTTTTAAATAATTTATGAATCTACCGCAGTCTGCATGGTGGCAGCCTCTGGACCTGGCTCGGCTGCTCACCCTCCTTCCTCTCCCCTCTTTCCTGCCCGTGTTCTAGTGGACAGCCCATCCCACGGGTGGAATATACGGAGGAAGAGAAGAAGACCTGGGGCACGGTGTTCAGGACCCTGAAGTCCTTGTACAAAACCCATGCTTGCTATGAACATAATCACATTTTCCCACTTCTGGAAAAGTACTGTGGCTTCCGTGAGGACAACATTCCCCAGCTGGAAGAGGTTTCCCAGTTTCTGCAGTGTAAGTCCACATCATGGTCCAGTATACGTTTGATATAAAGTAGACCCAGGTGAGTGTGTTTGTGGAAATGCCTGTAGGCGAGTCTCCCAGGAAAAATGAAATTTCACTGCTGTGTTCTGCCCCCTCTAGTTTCCAGAATCAGTCCAGTCCCACCCGAGAAAAGGCATCAGGTGTGAGTTCGGCTATATCTGTGTTCCTGCAAATTTTTAACTCAAAGCCTAGGGTGCTCAGGCAGGTTGTCCTGGCATGTTTTGAGATGACTCAGGTGCATTTATGTAGGACATGACGGTGTTACGGGCCCTGAGCTCTAATTCTGCATGTCCCAGTGTGATTCTTGCCCTGAACCACTCTCGCTGGGTGAAGCTACTTCAGTCATTGGTCCAAGGGAGATTGCGGCAGGGCAGTCTTTCTCAAAGGTAAGTTGTGAGAATGCAACAAAATGCTGCCTGCAAAAGCCCAGCCTGGAGCAGCTCAGTGAACTGGGCTGAATTAGAATTTGAGCAGCTCAGTGGGGGAATCCACACAGGGGAAGAAAGGCATTTTCCTTTCTGCCAGGAGGTGTTAACTAAAGTAAACAAGCCACTAACGCATAGTGACCAGCTATTGTGTGCCAGGTAGAATGAGGGGAAAGAAAGAGACCAACCACAGCCTTGTCAAAATAAGGACTTTTTTTGGTATCTCTGGGCTGTGCAGAAATGGGGTGGTCCATTCTGGACAAGGAGCCAGGAAAGCTACATGACAGGAAAATGGTAGCTGGGACAGATTGGGGGTGGATTAACGGTCTTTTGGAGCCCCTCCATTTAAAAAGTCTTGACTTCTCAGGTAAAGTGGAGAGTGAGAACCCAGGCAGAGGGACAGAGGCACCTTAAAGACATTCTTTAGATAATTATCCATGTTCCTATTAATAAGAATAAGACACCAGTTGGGAATTTGTAGAGTCATGAGTAAGAGAACAGACTCTGAAACCAGACCACCTCCTATAGCTGTGAACTTGGACAAGTACTTTAACCCCTCTGGGTCTCAGCTTCCCCATCTGTGAATGGGGGTGCTAAGAGTATCTGCACTGTAGGGTTATTATGAGGATTAGTGAACACATATAAAGCACTGAAGACTGTCTGATGCCTGCGAATATGTGGTGTTTCTTACCTATTATCATCATCGCTGTCATTATCATCACTATTGTTGTGATTCTCCTTCATGTTTGAAACAAATTGAGAGTTGTAGGAACCAGAAAAGTTGTGATTAAGATGTCAACTTTGTTGCTGGTAAACCCTACTTAGAGAATGTGGCATAGATGTGTAGTCCAGATGCACTTCCTAATAGTTTGCCCCTAGATGAGGCGGGCACAACTGCTAGTCTCCTGGCCAAGAGCAGACCAACAAGTGCTCCTCTGTGGACTGAGACAGTCAAGAAGGAATGGATTGGAGGGGTCGAACATGAGAATATCCTTTCCCTCTTCCCACATGATGCAGTGGGGAAGTCACTGCTCCTCATGGGGTGACTGAAGTTCAATGCAAAAGCTAGAAGTGCTCCTTCTATACTCTTCTTTTTTGGGGGAGAGGAGTGAAAACCCCCTCTGTACTCTGGACTCATGAGAGGTAGGGGTGAGTTTTCCACCCTAAAGAACAGTAAGGGAAGCTGAGTGCATTGGATGTTTCCAACACACTGGACTCTGTGCTAAGAACTTTATATTTATTAGCTCTTTGGAGTCTTGAATAACCCTAAGAAATATCAATCCACACTTTTGCAGATGAGGAAACTGAGCCTCACAGAAGGGAAGTTACGTGACCCATTACCCAACTAGAAAGTATCGAGGCAAAGACAGAAGACCAAGTGTGCTTGTTGGGGTCAGTGTTCACGCCCCTCTGCAGTGTGTGCTCTGCTTCTCTCCTGAGGTCTTCAGACATAGCTGGCTCTGCCGTGATGGATTTTGAGTTGTCTTTCTTTTCGCTTTCCCAGCTTGCACTGGTTTCCGCCTCCGACCTGTCGCTGGGCTTCTTTCCTCTCGGGACTTCTTGGGTGGCCTGGCCTTCCGAGTCTTCCACAGCACCCAGTACATCAGACATGGGTCCAAGCCCATGTATACACCCGAACCGTGAGTATTGTCCTGCTCCCAGTCGCCAGCCCAGGGAACATCATCTTCCCTGCCCCAGAAACAAGGTTCATGGCAACCTGAGCCACACAACTCACTGCCTGCGTTGCTTGACGGTAGTAGTGCTAAGAGAAACTTCTGGAGAGTTTCTCTGTCCAGATAGACCCTCCTGATTGGAGATATGGACATCTCATAAACCAAGTGGTCAGATGTCCCCTGGCTGTAGGAAAGTGAAGTCACATTCAAGTTATAAAAGGATTGACATTACAAATGGGAACAGGAATAAGTGGTGGCAAGCTACCTCAGGGTCCTCTAAATACACACCTAAATGAGTCTGGCATTTCTTTGCCTGGATTATACTTTGGCTGGAGGTACAGATGCCCCTTACTTTTTTCTTTTTTGTTTCTTTTTTTTGTTTTGCACTTAGCCATTCTCAGTCAGATAGAGCTTATGCAACTGATACCAAAGAGTCAGTACAATGCCCAAAATGGGTTTTCCCTGCTCACAAAATTCATTACTATAAATCAGAAAAGGTCTATTCCCAATGGACCTGGCACATAAAATTTTAAATGAAAATAGTTTTTTTTTTTTTTTTCCTATGGCTGGCTTCTGCCCCCTGCTCCAGGAGAGGAGCAGTACCATTTTAAAATTTGTTTTCAGTCCTGTGGGGAACAACCGATCATATTCTATCTTCCCAAGAATGTTCATACCAAGGAGAAGACTTAGATTAGGATGTTTCATGACTCACAGCTCACTTTGGTGTATGGGATGATTCCCATAAAAATATTTGCTCTTCTCTTCCCTACCCTAGTGAGCCTAAATGAGTTACTTCCTTCTGTAGGAATCTAAAAGATGAGAAGAAAGGCCAGTTTGACAAAGGACCTTCTTCCCATCCAAAAGCTGTGCTTTCTGTCTTTCAGTGACATCTGCCACGAGCTGTTGGGACACGTGCCCTTGTTTTCAGATCGCAGCTTTGCCCAGTTTTCCCAGGTAAGGAATGCATCTTTTTAGCCTTCTGGCTCTAGGATTGTGAGCTTGGTTGCTCAAATTCATTAAAGCCGGAGGAGCACTTGTGCCCTCTGCAAGGATGGAAACCCTGCAAGGATGTGTGTTCCCAAGGAGCTCACTAAAGGGTCTGTTCTCCCACAGCAGCTACAGCAAACTTTTGAGGACCTAAACCAGACCTTCACACTTCTCTGCTCCTGAACTTGCAATGGCTCCCCATTTCACCAGGAGGAAAATAGCCCTAACATAGCTAAAATGGTGCTACATGATCTGGCTCCAGATCCCTCTTTGATATCATCTGCCACACCCCCGTTACTTTGCTTTGTCACTGTGGTTCATCCCTGTTACTTGAACCAATTGATATTTCCCCTCCTTAGACATCTTTGTCACCAGTTATATGCTTAATCTCCACAATGCCTTGCTCTCAGATATTAAGAAGCAGAGCTGCCAATATCAAATCCATCTCTTTGCTCAAGTATCACCTCCATGGTGTGTACCCTGGAATCCTATTGAAATCTCAGCCTCCCCTGTCCTTGTCCCCTCTGCCTGTATTTGCAATACCTTTGCTGTTTTTTTCCTTTTGTTTCTTTTCCCCAAAGAACACATCACATTCTAACATACCCTTGTATATGCTTGTTGTTTATTGTCTGTTTCCACCCACTCAGAGGATCTTTATCAATTTTGTACAGTACACAGAACACATTCAATATTTTTTGAAATGAATATGTATATTAGGGAAGACAAATATATAAATTTTGCCTGTACAAGGCCAGGAGGAGCAGATACCATAAAAAACACAAAGTGTCCACTAGAGGAATTCTGCAGTTGAAACTGTCATGAGAAAGTGGTCCTAGACTTTTCAGACTCTTTCAGAAATGCCAGAAATTGGCAGGTCACCTCCTTTTTCTGTTCCTTAATTTTTCCTTTTGTAAAGTTAAAACAAAGGGCCATGTGCTGGAGAAATGCTTCCTCCTCTCTAGAGATCTGTGATTCTGAGATATGTGGTCAAGGCAGGCTTGAAGGACAGTCAGAGTTCCCTTGCATTTACCATCTGAGGCAATGGTTTATTTGGTCAACCATTGCCTTCCTGTGGTCAACTGCCAGGCTGGGATGGTGGGAAAGGTTGATGATGGGCACATGCCAGCCACACCAGCAACTCTGTTTCTCCCAAATTACAGGAAATTGGCCTCGCCTCGCTCGGTGCACCTGATGATTATGTTGAGAAACTCGCCACAGTAAGTCCCCTTTTCCTGGTGGATAGTGGGATGCCTTAACCCTCTGCTATTTGAAGCTTTGCTCCTTCCCCTGAAAGTCAGATCAGAATGGGTTGGATTATACTTGCACACATGAAATTTCACATTTTGATTTCTTCTTAGTTTGCTGTTGAAATCAACTGCACGCACATGTAATTTTGACCAGTGTCTTGAAAACGCGAACAGACTGTCATGATATCCCTTGAGAGTTCCTAGGCATAAAGTGTATGTGAGAAATAGTCTGGATTCAAGGCTTTGTAGAGAGAATATTCGTTTTCTACCTTTATGCTGCAAACTCATTGAGATATTTCCTTAAGACACAAGGTAGAAATGGGTCCAGGGCTTCCCCTTCTTGCCAGAAACTTCTCTCTTTCAAGTGAATGTGGTGACTGCCCTCCAAGGAAGCAGAACTCCACACAGTAGGGTTTCTTGTAGCATCCCTCCCCAGCTTCTAAGCCACATTTTCAACTTCAGCTTGAAAATTGAAAAATGAAACTTATTATGAAATCAGGGACCACAAATGACTGAAAATCTATCATTCAGATGTCAGGTTCAGAGTTTATGAATTCAGTTTATCAGGAAGGTGAAAAACTCCCAGAAGGTGCTTTTCCACTGACCAAGTGCTCTAAGATCGAGCATGTGACTTTTGCTTCCTTATCTATGAACATGGACACACTGGTGTAGATCCTGCCCATCTCAAAAGTGTAGGTCCAAGGAGTTCAATGTTTGTGTGCATGAATTTTTGAATAGCAGATGCTACAGAGATTCAAGAGGCCTCTATCACAGAAGCTGAGGAGCTTAGTAGAACTTCTCATTTGTGAGAAAATAAGCTTGGACCCCAGAGCATCATGTTCCCTGCTGTAACAATGAGAAGCAGCATGTATCAACAACCTAACTTCTCAAAGAAAAATCTTATTGTTGATATATTGGTCTGGGAACAGTCCTGGGTTCTTGTTGGTCCTCGATTTGCTGTGTGACTGCATGCCTATGCTTGACCTCTCTGAGCTGAAGACTTCTCATCTGTATGTGAGGAGGTCAGGCTGAACTCTCACAATCTCTAATGCATTGAACATCTAACTTACCCCTAATTCTCCATGACCATGACTTGAGCTTCTTGTGACTTTAGTCAGTAGGGTTATGCCAGAATTCCAGGACCAGCTTTCCCAGGCCAGGCATCTAGAACATGTCAGGCTGGGAACTCTTGAAAGAAAAGAACTTGGTTATTGGAGGAAGATAGTGTAGCACCCCATTTTAGCACAATTTGTGGCATGTCTCTCACTGATTTTATTACTACCCAACCCCCTAGGTCCCACTTCTGAATCTGATGGGATTACCGGTTAAACCTGACCAATTTAGGGGAACATCTCACTCCAGTGAGGAAGCAGAAGAAAACAGAAGGGGTGCAGGGCTTCCTGTCACAGAAAGTATTATTGGTTGGGTCTGTCCTTTGGGGCTTTCTTTAATACTCTCTTGCTGTTTACCATCACTTTTTGCATTCAGTCAATTCCTGCATCAGTGGGGTGAGAGGTAGGACATAGAGAAGTGACCCAGAGCATAGTGATTGAGAGAACAGGCCTAGACAACCCCCCACCTGGCAGTCCTGTCCTTGGTCCTGGGACATCTGCTGCTTCCCTCCATTAGGGCATTCTCTCAACTTGACTTTCTGTTCTAGATTTACTGGTTTACTGTGGAGTTTGGGCTCTGCAAACAAGGAGACTCCATAAAGGCATATGGTGCTGGGCTCCTGTCATCCTTTGGTGAATTACAGGTATGACCCTAATTTGAACCAAGGACAGGTTGGAAGGTGGGGGGTACAAGAGATCATTTTGTCCTCTTGGTACTTGTTAAACCTCATTTCCATCCATTATGAGATTCAACCTGGGGACTTATCAAGTGACTGACATCTAAACAGCTATTATTTTCTCATGCCCGTGGGTGTTAAAGGTAGAAACTGCCCTGCAAGCACACAGGTGTGCAGTGCAGAGAGGCCTCCTGAGTCCAGGGCTGCTCTGTGCATACAGATGTTTGCAAACATGGGACAGAAAATAAGGTTGGCTCCTGCATCATCTAGTGACCACCTTACCTGAAAATGATTGGAATGAATTATTTCTCTCTTGACTGTAGGTTTTAGATGGGCTCTGAAGGGTAGGCTCTAGTGCCATCAGCCTTCCATATCTACATTTTCTCCATCTTCAGCTTCAACCAACTGATAATCAAAAATACATACTATATACATAGTTAAACCATAATGGTTGTGTCTGTACTGCTGAACACGTGCAGACTTTTTTCCTTGTCATTGTAAGTAATCTAGAGAGAATATGAAGTATACTGGAGGATGAGTATACGCAGCCATATGCAGTTACTATGCCATTTTATGTGAAAGACTGACGTATGCACAGATTTTGGTATCCTGGAACCAGTCCCTAGCAGACACCCAGGAGTGACCATATATGTAAAATAGTTGAGTTTACTGCATTTGGACTGAGGTGTAGAAGGGATCAGGATGAGCTGGGGATGCAGCAGGGACCACTCACCCTGATCTATCCATGAGAACTTTCTGCTTGGGGCTTGCAGTACTGCTTGTCTGACAAACCGAAGCTCCTGCCCCTGGACCTGGAGAAGACCGCTGTCCAGGATTATACCGTCACAGAGTTCCAGCCTCTGTACTATGTGGCTGAGAGTTTCAATGATGCCAAGGAGAAAGTGAGGTGAGGTGGTGACGGAGGGGGGGCAGTAGCCCTTGGCATTCCCTTCTGGTCTGGTGCCACTGGATCTGTGGGTGGTTGTCCAAGAGAGTGGGCGCCAGGGCTTATAGCAACCGTGGGGAGCAGACAGAGCCAACTCTGTGTTTTTGCTCATGGCTGAGGGTACAATTACAGGATTGAGGCAGGATCTGAGCCCAGGTGGTTTGAGTCTGGAACACAGTGTCAGCCACTGTTGCCAAACTTGGAGAGCTCTACTGGTTTTAACATTACGTTCTCAGTCTGGCAGAAGCCAACCTAGAAACATCATTTGCGATGTCATTGCATTTGTAGGCCATTTGGAATAGCTGCTTAGTGAGAGTGCTTGATGTTCCTCATCAGGCCTCATGGTGCTGTCCTTCCTGAGCGAAGAGTAACCTGCAGGGAAGACAGGGCTGTGGAGAGCACAAACTTAAGTCCTTTCTAGTGTCACAACTTTTTTGACAGTATGACCTTGGTGGTCCCTTAGCTTTCTCAAACCTCAGTTTCCTCCATCAGTAAAATGGGGTTAATAATGCCTTCCTCCTAGAGCTGTGTGGAGATTTCTGGACCTACTAAACATAGAGCTTCCATAGGATCCAGCAATTCCACTCCTAGGTATTTACCCAAAGGACACAGAAACATTAATTCCAAAGGGCACCTGCACCCCTATGTTTATAGCAGCACTGTTTACAATAGCTAAGCTTTGGAAACAACCCAAATGCCCAAAAATAGATGACTGGATCAAGAAGATGTGGTACATATATACCATGGAATATTACTCAGCATTCAAAAAAGATAAACACATGCAATTTGCAGCAACATGGATGGAGCTGGAAGGGATCATGCTCAGTGAAATAAGCCAGAAAGAAAAAGAAAAATACCGGATGGTCTCACTCATAGCAGGAATCTAGAAAACTTAAATAAGGGACCAGGAAAATGAATAAGTATAAGAAAGTGAAAATCAAAATCAACAAAAAACTATGAACCAGAGACACTTTTAGGGGGGCAGGGGCGGGAGGGGAGGGATTGGGGTCAGAATGGGAGGGCTGCAATTGTATGGGGAATATAAAAATAAAATTTATTATTTAAAAAAAAAATAATGCCTTCTCCTAAAGTGTTGATGAAGATTACATTAGGAATGATAGCTGTAAAGAGTATAGAACAGTTAGGACTTAACATAGTTTTTGGCATATAGGAGGCTACAATCTGTGTTAAGTTTTATTATTAGCATAGTGTTTTCAGTTCTTGCAGCTGTGTTTGCTGCCTTGCATGGATTGTCAAGGATCTCGGAGTTTATTTTTTTCTATACCTCTCTCTGGCTAAGTCTTACTTACTCTTGATCTGATTTAATAAAAATCATGGCCTAATTGGATCCTGTGGTTTTATTGCAAGCTAGCTCTGTCTCATTGAAGGTAGGTAACTAAATGAAAATGTGTGTGATTATGTGTGCATATACACATATGCACTCCCAGCACACACACAAAGGCTTCCCAAGGGAAACTCACTGAAACTCCCTTTCAGTTCTAGGCCGGCTTCTGAAGTCCCTGCTCTAGTGAGACATGGGTGCTATTAGTGGCCAAGTGGAATGCCACCGAGAAGCCTCTTAGAATTATTCTCCCCCACATGACACCCTTCACTCTGGCTTTGGTTTCAGAAACTTTGCTGCTACGATCCCACGGCCCTTCTCTGTGCGTTATGATCCGTACACCCAGCGGATTGAGGTCCTGGACAACACCCAGCAGCTGAAGATTCTGGCTGACTCCATCAACAGTAAGCAACTTCCTTTCCCCTCTGAGGCCATTCTCTTTCCCCAATATAGAGGGTTATGCTTTATATATTCACTATAAGAATAGTAAGGAAGTAGTTAAAATTGATTTAAGGAGAAAAGCACCTCCTTAGGCGCTGCTTTATTGGGAGAGAAAACTTGGCAAATAGAGCACAATTGCCTTGAGTGTCTTTTTTCCTTTGACCTTCCTAGATTTCTCCCCCCCCTTGCCCAGCCCTCCTATCACCCCACCTTCCCATTTAATTGTCACTGCCGTATTCCTGTCTCCTTTGCCTCTCCACCCATTTCCTCCTGTCCCATGGATATTGTTTTGCCTGGAATCATCCAAGAGACAGCTTATATGTTCTTTGTCAGCCATCTAGTAGCTCAGCTACTGGCTCTCCACACTCTCTGCATTGCGAGGATCTTGTAACAGTTGCTCTTAGACACAAATCGCAGTTTTATTTTGTTCACTGTCTAATTCTCTCTCTAGTCTTTCAAAAAGCGAGAAAATAACTATGGTGTGACCGCCCTCTCATGTCTTATATCCTAGTCTCAGAGCCCTTGCTGGACTATTTTCTCTCTTTTGATTTTCTCTCTTTCTGGAAAATAGTTTTCTTGCTCTCTTCTGACCCCTGCCCCATGCAGTTCTTCATGTTTAAAATACTCTCCTTCCCATTCAATTTAGAGGTCTCCAAGTCTAGTTCATTTTTTTAAGCTTTCCATAGATGTCTCTTCCTGTAGGGAGACTGATGGGATATCTTTCCCATGTCCTGGTATCCCTGCCCATTATAACACTGCAACTAACTCAGAGCATGCACCATTATATAATATTGCTTGCTTGACTATCTCCCTGCCAAGACCCGAGCAGAAAGCCATGTCAGATTCACTGCCAAAATCCTAGCACCTACTCTCATTCCTAAAATTATCTCAGGTTCCCAAGATCCAGAGAATGAATGAACCAAACCAGCAAAAGGGTGAACCTAAAGGGAGGAACTCCAGGCCATGTGGGGTTCCTACCTCATGTAATCTTAACAAGGCCAAAAAGGCAGGTGGTCTTGAAATACCCTCTAATGCTTTTCCAACATTGTCTGAGGCCATGCCCATTATATAGAGCTGGCCCTGGCTGCTGGAGGCATTCCCCATTAGGCAGACTTACCTGCCACCTGCCATTCTGCAAACCCCCAAGGCTGATTCACCCCTATAGATCCCACTTTGGACCTCAGCTGGAATAGAATTGTCTAAAAAGTCCAGCAAGCACTCTGAGACTAGGATATAAGGCATGGGGCAACACCACAATTATTTTCTCTCTTATTAAATTTTCTCTGAAAGGCAAAAATTGAATCCACATGTTATTCTTATAAGAGATTTTTTTTTAGATTATAGACTAATACATTTAGAAACTAAAGGGTCTTCGGAGCAATGAGACCTGACTGAAACTCTGTTACCTTTCCATACTTCAGTTTCCTCTGGGTTTAGGAGGCAGGGAGGCTTGTCCATCTGCAGGGCTCCTTCCACTTTGATGAAAAGCCTGTGTTCCTCTGGCCCTTTGACACCTGTGAACATGGCATAAATGGGGGCATCACCATCATACGTTAGTCTAGCAGCCTAGGCTAAGTGACATACGTAGGCAATGAATTTCGAACCTAGCATGTATCAGAATCACCTGGAGAACAAGTTAAATGAACATTCCTGAGGCATCCCGCCAGACTAAATTTACTAAACTTGGGGTACAAAAACTTAGAAGTTTGTATTTGTAATAGTGCCCTAAGTGATGCTGATGGAGGACATTTGTGTGAGTTACACTATAGGTGTGATGACTTAGCCCTTGACAAGCATCTGCAGATGACCATGTAAAGAAGAAACAGTATTTCAGTGATTTCCCTGAGGAAAAAGGCTGTTAAGTCCTTCCCTGAGAAATCGCCTATAGAAAAAGAAAGGCAATGACATTAACATTAACAGCACTCACACTTCCTAAAATTTTTAAGTATCTATGTCCTAAGTGCCCAAATTCTATCATCAAAACTAAGCTATAAGTAAGCTTCTTGCAAGACTGGGTTGGTCTTTGGAAGAACTGGCATCCATCTGACCCTCTAGTTCTTTACATAGGAAGCATGTTTGTTCCCATTGTGAGTGGCTTATTTGTTTTTCTTTGTAGGTGAAGTTGAAATCCTTTGCAGTGCCCTCCAGAAAATAAAGTAAAGTCATGGAAAACCAACTACTTTCATCTGAGAAAGTCTGAAAGACAACCTTAATTGGAAACGACAGTCTTAAATCCTTTCTGGAACTAGATGGAGGATCAGCAAATAAAAGAACCTGAAATGACATCTTAATAATAAATACCCAAAACCAAAATGTTGGATTTTTGGGGGTCATATTTGATTTTGAGGTGATAATCTCCTATTTTCAATTGACTTAAATGCAACAATCTATCACACTTCATCTCGGTTAATTAAAATCTGGGATCTGCTTCATTCAAGCTTCAAAATGCTTTTGTTATTTACGATAGAGAATTACTGTAGGAGTGAGTATATATCACTCAATGCAAAACAATCTTGTTATTACAATTAAATTTTGGGGTTTCATATGGATCTTAACCTACAAAGGCCATTTTCTATTTCTGCTAACTGTAATTCTGTTCTTTTGTCTATGTAGATTTCTTTAATTCAGGAGCCTGTTAAAATTTCTATAAACATTAAAGTTCATGGTATAATACTGAAACATTTTTGTATGTTTTATTATAATCATAAATGCTGCTGTGGAGACCAATAAATTCTCCACCTGAGTTGTCCAACTTCCAGTGTCATTTATCAATTAATTTGTTAGATCTGTTTTGGGACATGTTATAAAGACACTTAGGGTGAAATAGATATTAACCAAAGGCCTGATTGAGAGATATCCAGTAAATAGTCATTGAATTAAGGACTACATTATTACTGAGAAAATCCTCAACAAAAGTGAGATTTTAATCATGTCAAAAAACTTAAAAATTTTATAGTTTCAAATGTTTATTTTAATAAAATATTGCCTTGGAAACACACTGACTAGACCATTTTGTGACATGAAAGAATGAGCAGTAGCTCAGATTCCAGCAATGGCAGGAGCCTGATGGGATCAAGTAGTCGGGCCTAGATAGCCAGACTTTGGCTTTAGCTGGTTGTGCATTTGATATGAATAGCTGAGAATAATGGAGAGAACAGCAATGTCTTAAAGCTTTGCTTTGAATTCTTATGCTACTTTGACATTTTATACCAGAAATAATTGAATCCCCATGATCTCATAGAGCTGTATCTCAGCAGTAAAACATGAGCACCATCCTAGCTCTGACCAATGTTGGGAGTAGGGCACAGAGACTGGGATTTTCAAATCCCTCTGATGACTTTTTTTTAATGGCCAGTCAAATCTACCGGGTACATAAAGTTTGAGAAAATCCAATACTGGTGGCCCGTTCTACCACCTGCCAGTTGTATTACCTTGCATAACTCACTTCTTTGGGCCTTGGTTTTATCTTAACAATAAGGGAGCTAAACTGGATGGATCAAGTTCCCTTTCAGTCTAGAAATAAAATTGAAATGCTAACATGTGTTTTGAAATAGCTGTCTCTAATCCATTAATTGGATATAATAGTTCCCGCCTAAGTATGCCAAATGAGTGGCAAAAAAGATTTGGCTTGAATGTAGCTGAGGTTTCATTGCTTTGAAGTTGGAAGATACATGCTTGTATCTATTTTCTCATGCCTCTCTAGAATGGACTGACAAGCACTAATTCTAAAAGTGAGGGTGAACTTTTTTTCTCTGGTGTTCCTCAAGACCCCATTCTGCAAAGGGACTATTTTGATAAATGTTTCTTTTCTTCATGTTAAATGTAAATTAGAGAGGGCCTCCCTGGTGGTGCAGAGGTTGAGCGCTGGGTTGCGAAGCTGCCCGCAGCCTCTGCAGCACCAGTTCAATCCCCGGCCACAGGCGGCGAGGGTCTCACATGGCGCGCAGACCTCTCCTGCTGCCTGCTGCTCCCCTCAGCAGTGTACTTCATCAGTCTGCCTGTTCTGTTCTCTGCTCTGGCTCTGGTGAATTCTCTCACCCTCCTGCACTTCTGACTGTACCCAGTGCGTGTACAAACAAATAAATAAATAAATCTTAAAAAAAAATGTAAATTAGAGAATCTCTTGACTTTGAAAATGAAATATTACATAGTATTTTAGACTGTATATTTTAGTCCTATTGAAGATAATTTACTGTACTTGAAGTCAAAGTTTAGGTTTAGAGCCTTAGACCATAGTTTTCAGAAAAAGAAACTGTATCCTGATTGAAAGACTATCTTTGAACTGTTAGCATTGTGTTACTCAGACTTAGCTCTAAAGCAATGAGATTCAATATATTTCTACATTAGTTTTATTATATTTAATGTCTAATAAATAAGCAGTTGTTTAGACACAATAATAATCCTGCTGTGTCCAAATGAAATAAATACTTGTAGGAGCATTACAAATATTTAGTAATATATTTAATATGCTTCTGCAAGGAAGGATCTACATTTTAATTCTACATTATATAATTTAGCTATTTTTTTCCAAAGAAACTACTACTAAAATTCCAGCTCCGTAAAAACAGGAACCTGGGTTAACTTCTATACCTCTGAAAACCTTAGCGCTAAACCTAGTACATAGCATGTGCCCCATAATTTAAAAAAAAATACCCAGTTGAATCACAGAGAATGTAGTGAAGGTTGTCTTTCACAAATGATTTTGCAAGAAAAAGTTGAGAAACAACTAAATTTGCAATTTCCCTTCTAAAAGCTATTGAAAAATTTGTATTTAGTCCAAGTTGTGAATTTTTAATGGAAGATATTACCCCTTCACACTCAGTATAGACCAGCTTATGGCTAACTGGTTCATATTTATAACACTTCAACAGTAACTGACATATAAAGTGCTTAGTATATATTTGTTAATAAAGTAAACCAAATTGCATCCTAAACTAAAGAAACTTCTCATTATTAATCATGGGGTTGAAATAGTCAGAAATCAATGACTGGTCTATTGGAAAAAAATACAAAAAACACCAAATATGAAAACAGACTTTGCAAAGGAAAAGGAAAAAATGTGAACAAAACTTGTTCTTTCTAGTGGAGTTTGCACCTACACAAACACACACACACACACACACACACACACACACACAGCTTTTCTGGGCAGTTTCAAATGCTGTATCAATGATAGATTTGATATCCTGTAGAAATGACTAATAGTTTCTATACTGTGAGTCTTCTCATTTATAACCTTACTTTCAATTCTGCTAGCTCCAAGACACACTTTACCTGTCTATCATAAACACAATTCCTCTGAAGAATCAGCTCAGAATGATATGTAATTGCAAAGAAGATTGATTTTATCTCTGTAGTATATATACAACTCTCCTCTAAACATTATTCATAATTATTCAGGGATATTCTATAACATTATTTATTTTATATGCTTCTTATAAATTTTTTTTGTGTGTGGGTGTGACAACAATCTTACATAATAGAATAGAATATTAATTTAAAAAGACAGGAATTTGTCTCTAAGATATGGGCTTCTTAATTCCCCAAGAAGGAGGAAATGTTACTGCAGGGATTACAACATGCCTGCTTATTTTCTGGTTTGCCTAAATGGAAAGAAGATGAATGGCAATTCATTTGAACTGAAATACCTCTTTTCCCCCAGATCATTCTTAGGAGTTAGGAGATGCTTATAGAGAGCAGTAGGACCAGTATCTTTCACCGAAGTTATTGAAATCAGTGCACATTTTGGGTATTTGTTGTTCACTCTTCCTAGATGGTAATTGGGATCTATCTGTTAAAGAAATAAACTCAGGGCCTCCCTGGTGGCACAGGTGTTTGAGCGCAGCGCTGTGAAGCTGTCCACAGCCTCTGCAGCACAGGTTCGATCCCAGCCAGCCATGGAGGTACCCACATGGCGTGGCAGACCTCTCCTGTGTCGCCCGCTGCTCTCCTCAGCAGTGTATTTCAGTCAGTCTGCCTATTATATTTCCCACTGTCTCTGGTGAGTCCTCTCACCATCCCGTGCATCTGGCCTGTACCCCAGTTCTTGTATTAATAAATAAATCTTTTAAAAAATAAAGAAACTCAGTCCTTTCTATCATTCCTATTCTGAAAGGTTCTCAAAGAAGTGCTAGTTGCATTCTGCATTCTGTCCTTTTCTTCAATCCCTTTGCAAACCAGGGTGGTGGCAAAGGGTTGATTTCCATGATCTTTTAAGAGTGGTCAGTGGAGAGAGGAGTTTGGACTTAGAATGGAGCCATCAGAAACACACCTTTCTATTATTAGTTTCTCCCTTGACTTTTTTCTTTTCCAAAGTATGGCCCTTGAGGATTTTTTGAGAATCAATTATCTCCTCTCTCCCACAACCCACTCTCACACACAGCATTTATTTGACTTCCAAGAGGCCACAAGACGTGTTGGGCCTGAGTTGAGGACTATAACAGGGAAGGCCCCGAGCAGGTGTCCCTTGCCAGAGGCCTTAGATATTTGGAGAAGAACATATTTTAAACCTATTTAAAGGACCTCCAACCATCAACACTCTCCAGAAATAGAGAATCAAACTGGCACAGCAGCATTAATTTCAAAGGGTAAATGTTGACCTAGGAAGACTTTTGAGCTCCTTCAGCATCCATATTATTCTCAAGGTCATCAGTTCTCAAACTGTGGAGTTGGATGAGCTCCTTTCCTTGAACAAACAAAACAATCAAATTTCAGAGTGAGGGAAGAAGAAGCAGAACCTTTCCCAAACTTTCCATTCCCAGAATGTCCTTGGGAAAGTCAGGGAGACTCCCTACAGAATCACTCTTGGAAAAACATTGTTCTCCAGCACACAGAACAGCCTGGGATTACAAAACAGCAGTTTGATGACAGAGAAATCCCTGAGGTTAGAATGGATGGAGAGAGAACCTGAGTAACCGCTCCTCACAGAGCAGAGCAACTCAGCACCGTGGACAGCACCCTTGCCCTGGGTGACCCACCTGTGCCCCTTTCATCCTTTCAGCTTAGTGCAGAAAGGCTGACGTCCAACAGCTAGTCCCTGCATTTCTTTTCCTGAAAGTTTTGTCTGTGTTCTAAGGCACTTTGCCTGTCCTGATGGTATAATAATGGTGCCTTGGAATTAATACTCCCCCCAACAGTCCTCTCTTCTGCAAATAAAAGGTGAGAGTTGGTAGAGGCTTTTCTTTTCTATTCACTGATTCCCAATTTCCTCAGTGGGATTAATTTCAGTTGTCCTTAAAAGTAGCTGATTAAGGGGACTCCCTGATGGTGCAAGGGTTAAGACGCAACCTATGAAGCAATCCGCAGCCTCTGCAGCACGAGTTTGATTCCTGGCCAGCCAGGGAGCAACCCACATGGTGCAGCAGACCTCTCCTGACTCGCCCGCTGCTCCCCTCAGCAGTGTATTTTGGTCAAACTGCCTGTTCTGTTCCCCACTCTGTCTCTGGTGAATCCTCACCCCCCATACCTTTGGCCTATATCCCAGCTCTTGTATGCATAAATAAATAAATCTTTTTAAAAAGTAGTAGCTGATTGATTAAAATTGCCTTTAATTATCGATTGTCCTTCCTCTCTCTCTCTTATTCATTTGTACTCAGTTCTTAACAAAAATATTTCCTCTAGAATCCCTTTCTAAATGTCTGCTTCTGGGAGAACCCAAACCAAGACAGAGGTAGATAGTGGTGACTATGTTGGCATATGTGGCACATAGAAACTTCTGCATTTTTCCTCCAAAGATTGCCATTCAGAAGCCTGGGTTATATGAAATTATTAACTTTAATGTTTTTTGGTTCTTTTTTAACTCAGAGATCTCCAATCCATTTCTTACAGTTGCTTAGGTTCTAAGGAGAACATATGATCTTGACAACTGCCACCATGTGGTAAGGTCCCAATTTTAACCAACACCACACCA